TAGCCATTTAAATATTTTTATTTAATACTTCTTACAATATATACCTGCCTACTATAATTCATTCAAAATATCTTGCATACTACATAAATATCTTGCAAATTCTAAATGTAATTTCTTATTACTCTTTTAATTTAAATAACATCTTTGTTTATGATCAATAAAATAAAGGTAAAATGATATGATAGTAAAATATTGAAAACAATGAACATGTACACTTTATTTATATAATATTTTTTACTTTTTAGCTTCACTTATTTTTTTCTGAGCTGCAAGAGCATTTTCATTAGCAAGCATTTGGAATTCTTCAAATCGTTGGGATATTCTTTGATTCATCTTTAAGTATTTTTCCATACAATTTAGGGCACACGTTTCTTCCTTTGCTTGCACATCTCGTGATGTAAATTCGTTTATACAGTCAGTAAAGCAAGTGTGTATCAGTTTATTATAGGACGCCACAAAATCTCGAACCTAAAGTATAATAATAAAAGTTCTAGTCATTCAAACTTCTATTATTCACATATTTACTTTATGACACATAAAAAATTAGAATTCTTTATATTTTACAATAACAAGTATTAACACGTTAGTAGTTAAATTATCTGTTTTTAAAGCGGTTTTTTTTTAAGGTTAATGTATGAAATAATTACAAATACATACAGATTTAATTTGTTCAGGGTCCACGTTAGTAGGAATTTGCATTGCCATTGTAATGATTTATTTCTTGTTAAAATATTGTATTGACGCAATTAATAAATTATCTTTACACCTTAAATCAAAGGAACTTTCATGAGAATAATTTTAAGGTTAGAAGGAAACTACCGCCTCATGACACGTGCACACTGTATACACATGAATACTACATGTACTTAACATATAATACATACAATGCATAACTACTAAATATTACGGTTTTTAATAGGCAGAGAAGTTTTGGATCTCAAAACTATCAAATATTTCGCTCTGCAATTGTATGTTCGAAAATTCGTCACACTATTGAATTCTAATTCATGGACTTTTCTGAACACATTATAACGTTTACTTTTTTAAATATAACGCAGTTCTCGAAACTACTGACTGTATGAAATAATATTATAGTTGAAATTTTATATATGAATGTGATGTACTAAAAATGATGAAAACTATTCAATATTTATTTAAATAAACTTAAATAAGTATGAAATAATTACATTTTTCAGTACTTACATATATAAAAGTTGAAATTATTGAAATATAATTATGAGATATTAATTGAGAAAAAAACAAGAGAAAAATGTTATGTAAATATGTGTCATATAAATTTATAAATAATATTAAAACAATCAGTGTAAAAACTATTCTCTGTTACGACGCACGATTTGATGTCAGTGAAATTGCATAAAGGACAAAACTACAGTAGAAAACGAGCAGATGTTTTATGTCAGCAGTTGATGATGGTGTTCGGCCAAAGTTTGGTCTTTGTTTCGGATATATCGAGCTCTTTTATTTGGAAGGTAAGATGATAGATTTTAATGTACCTTTTATGTAATCTGTATAATATTAATCAATAATTTTTAACGGTTCCATATAATTTTGATTGTGTGGAATTTTGTAGAACAGCAATATTATATACACATATTATTGTAAAGAAACGAAATATTTAAATTTAAATTGTCTTCTCATATGTATCAGTCTTATGTTACATGCAACAGTAAATGTAATAGAAATAAATATTTAGTATAATATTAAGTGAATTATAGTAAATATATGAATTATTTCTTTTTAATTGAATATTTAAATATTCTTACATAAAAGTAAGAATTTTCTACGTATTAATTTTAAGAAACTCATTTTTATCTATACTGAATTTGCATGAGATTTAATAACTTAGAAAGTAGTATTTTTAAAAACATCTTTTCACCTTATTTCTTTTTATACACCACCATATTCTATTTTATACTGTGCCATTGGTTATGGTAATGATAGAAGAACAAGTGACAAATGAGGGTTTGTTAAAGCATAACTAAATTACTGATTTTGAAGAAAAATCAATGAATTTTTTGGTGCTTCCTAGGATTCAGAGTGGTGATTTTAAGAATTATATACAGCTGAACTACCGAAGTCGGTAAAGTCAATAAATGCAAAAAATTCTCTTCCGTTACAGCTGTAAATAAAGACGTATTACCACAGACGAGGTATAGAATTTGTATACTTCATTTGTGATTTCGTGATCACGTATAATTTTAATTCTGACCCATATAAGTGTTGTAACCTTATTCTATGCTGAATCGGTAACGTTGAGAGTGACACAAGAATGGTAATGAGGCTTACGACCCCAAAATTGTGTGCCCAAAATGCATTGCGTGATAAGTCTATTCTGTACCTCGTCTTGGTTTATAACGATGATCAAATTCATGCCTAATATGCTACTATAAGTAAATTGTTGCTGCAACGGGCACTGCCTTCTATAGATGGCGCGGTATTTCAATATTTCATATTCAGTATTTTATTTAATTCCATTTATTTACAAATTTGTAAACATATTCACATACTTATAAATTTTGTTTATGTGTAATTTTAAGCATTTAGTTATACGCAACAGTAATACAGTTCTATGTTGAAATCAAAATAATATCACATTGAATATTCAATGTTTATAATCGTATTGTCAAATAATATTTTGTGTACTGATGTATTATTATAATTTTACGATTTCAGAAAATTGGATAAAATTAACGAAACAAAGGTTGAGTTATCAAGAGATTTTTAAAAATGTCGCATGATAATCAGAATGTTTCTACAATCGGTAAAATCTCGAATTCCGTAACCAGTAAAAGATCGTATCCGATGAAGTCACAACAAAAATCACTTGCCAAACAGCCAGTGATAAATAAAACTTCATTATCCAAAAATAGAAAATGGTCGAGCAGTTCTAAAACGAAATATCAGCCCATAACAAATATTCTTTTTGAAAATGAAATGAAATCTAAAGAGCAAACGAAATCTATTGGCAAGAAAAACTACGATAACATGAACGACGATGATCCAGTTACAGTATTGGGCAAAGAAATACTGGATTGGAAAATTAACGAGATGTTAACATCTAGAATCGAAGAAAGACTTACGG